CGGCACCATAACCGGCAGCCATCCGGCACATGATGGGTAAGCGTTATTAAGAGCGGCACCCTATCCTAAATAGGAGCGGCGAGACCCGCTTTTTCCGATGTGGACACTTTGGACACCGCAAAGCCAAGACAAGCACAGGCTCTGAAATGTGAAGCCAACACAGGCCCGCGCTCGGATGACGTCAGCGATGGACGACCACAGAAAGTTGGTCACATACCTTGGACACTTGGACACGAAGTGAATCGTGACGGCTTTAGAAATAAAAAAACAGATCGATCTTGATCTAGATTTACAATCGCATTCATCTATTTAAAAGTGCCCTCTTCATTCGATTTAGGGACGTCATTGCTGTTGAGTCGGTTTAGGACTCGTCGAGCACCCTCTCTACGATCATTCCCGTTCTGCTAGTTATTATGTCCGCCGCTAGTCCACCAGGTGTTGTCGCAGCATCAATGATTACGGCTTCATCACAACTTTGGAAGCGGGATGGAAGACGCTTCATTTGCCTCGAATGGCACCGTGAAGATGGATCCGAGATTTGCAGCAAGAGCTTTATGTCGAAGCAAGCTTTGGAAGGTCACCAAGAGAGGATGGGATGCGAGCCTTACAAGCTTCCCAGCGAGCGCGCGCCTTCGAAATATCGCGATTTGGAGTCGGAAGCTTCTCGTCTGCTGAAGCGCCAAAGCAACACCGCTGCGGTTTTGAAGTATCGGCACACTCTTGATGGAGAACGAGCTATCTTCAGAACACGGCATATGGCAAAGTATTGCATCATGGCTCGCAACGCAATCCTCGCTCCACCCATGCCAAAGGCACCAGCGTACGTGCGACCGCCCCTGTCGTGGCTCATCGCGGATGCCGAGCTTCTTCCGAGCAAAGCTTGGGAGATGTTCGATCGCGGCGAGATCGTATTACACCACAAGACTTGGTCATTGCACTTCCACCCCGACAAGGTTGAGGTATGTAGCGCGAGCCATACCTAGCCACGGAGAGTGATACTAGCATCAAGTCAGCTGATTTCGCACAGGCACCAACAATGTTCCTCTTTGGACAGAGATTCGTGTACATTTTTAGTAATTGATATACATCACTTGACATGTTGGACGGATTGGACAGAGATTCGTGTACATTTTTAGTGATTGATGTACATCGCTCAATATTCTAGACAGATTTTGTGTACATTTCTGATTATTGATGTACATCGCTTAAATTTCTAAACAACTGGAAATCGATATATGTACATCCATTTTTAGTGAATGGAGCAACATTGTGCACAACAGCATTGATGTACACCACTCAACAATCTGGACGTATTGGACAGAGATTCGTGTACATTTTTTGTGATTGATGTACATCGCTCAATATTTCGGACAGATATTCGTGTACATTTTTAGTAATTGATGTACATCGCTTAAGATTCTAAACAACCGGAAACGACGTATGCACATCCACTATCAGCTATTGTGCACAGCAGAACAAAATCCAATAATCTGTCAATATTTTTGGTTGCCAAGTCGAGACGGCACCGTATTCGGCATTCCGGCCGCAGCATCATCATTTCCTTTTCTTCTCCAGGAGGCGAGAGCAAAGACCCTTCAACAATTCGTCGACCATTTTGCAAGCTCCACGATTGGCGGCTTAAACCGAGACGAGACGATGGCTCGCTACTCTACGGAGCTCTTCGGCCCTCTGTACGACAGGCGCTTTAAACCCGGCTTCATCGCCCAAAAGTCTGGCGGCATGCCGTGGAGGGAATGGATGAAGGAAGAATGCGCACTCATCGATGAGTACCGCAGATATCTACAAGACTTTGGAAGATATAAGAGGGAACTAGAGCGCGCGCATCGAGAGCTAGAAGAGTCCCGGAGGAGATGGATCGAGGAAAACCTTGAGCGCAGGTTCAAGAACTCCAACGCGTACAAGCGATACATAGCGCAAGATACGAACTAGAGACGCTCGAGCCACTGCGAACATAACCTTGCGACCGTGGCTACATGCATTGATACCGGCCGTTCATCGATCGTGCATCAATGCGTGTGCTTGTAAGCAATCATTTCTGTTGCATGTGCCGGTGCCCGATTGAATGCAGAATTGTCCAAGTGTCCAAGCTCCGGCGCAAACTTTTCGCGATCGCTCATCGCTGACGTCATCGGAGCGCGGGCCTGTCCCGGCTCACAACTGTCCAAGTGTTCAAGCTCCTCATCGCTCACGTCATTGTAGCGCGGACCTGTCTTGGCTCACAACTGTCCAAGTGTCCAAGCTCTGGCGCAAACTTTTCATCGTCGTCAGTCGCTGACGTCATCCATCAAGCCAAGCAGACACTATCCATCAAGCCAAGCAGACACTTTCAATCGACACATTTGTTGATAACATCATCATGGCAATGGTTGAATGATGGGATCGTGGTTGTTGAGCGTCGATGATACAAGTATCGTCATTTTGCATTGAATCAATTTAACAAGTACCAATTACAACTTTTTGCGGAGAATGTACAAATGGAGCCTGTCCTAGTGTAACAAGAGAGTACGAAGCTCGTCCTGACCGGCTTGCATCGCCAGCCACTTTGGCTTTACCATCTTTCTTGAACTCACAAATCGTATCAAGTAGTGTACGAGCACCTGATCCTTGGATAGTAGAACTGCCGTGGCGAATCATTGTTCTTGGCCCTCTTGAATCCCTTCGTAGCCATTTTCCTCATCAACTCCTCATTCGAGATTCTCTCGGAGGAATACTGCCTAAAGCAGGCTGCAAACTCAATCTGGAGTGTCGACAATCCCTCTCCAACCTCGCAGTGTTGGTCGATGAACAGTTGGAGTTTGTCCGCCTCGCGCAAGTACTCGTCCGTTGCATCCTTCACGGCCTTGGGGGGAGAACCAAGACCCTCTGCACTGGCGTACCACTCCACCGAGCCGCGCGCTAACCAAGTAAGGATTTGCCGACGCGACTCCTCTTCCTTCATGCGTTCCTTCAAGTGGTCGTCTCTGAGGCGGTGTGTTGCGTTCGTGGGGTCAAAAGCGTTTGCTCTGACGTAGGTATTGGGGAACGGGATCGCTCGCAGTCGGCGCTCGACGTTGTCCGGAATCGCTGTTGCGGAGATCGCAGGAGGGTAGTTTGTTTGCACGAACGGTGTGTGCGTGACAACAAACTCGACGCTGTTGATATAGAGGCACCGCGCTTTTACTGAGCTGCCCCCCGTTGCCGCCAAGACGAGACCGAGGTCCACCTGATCCCCCTCGGCCGTCTCGTCGGTGATTGCAAGCCGCTTGCCCATC